CACACACACACACACACACACACACACACACACACACACACACACAGTTATGAGGAAGGTGAAAGTACTGCATCACTCAACAAATCTTAAGTAATATACTTTTATCACAGTTTATAACAATATTTATGTCATCAAGAATAAAACTACCAAACTATCTCTGACACACGTCTTCCAGTGGGGGCTAGTACAGTAAGTAGTACATAGCAGCCATGTTTTATTTTTGGTCTCAACTGTCAGGTTGGCAGGTCCTGTCATCTTGCAGAAGTGGGAGAAGAAAAGAAGCACCTCTCCTCCTCCTATTTTATTTACACAGCCACACGAGGCATATCAGAGATCCACTCTCTCAGATAATACACCCACAATGGGGGAGGGGGGGATGGTGTGAACAAAGATGTGTGTGTGTGTGTGTGTGTGTGTGTCAGGGGCGAGAGGAGAGGAAACGATGGGCAGATAGAAAGTGAGGAAGATGAAGAGGAAAACGGCATATTTGATGTAAAGTCTGAGCGCTCAAACAGGAAGCTGGAGTAGCTGAGTCTGAACAGATAGACGGAGAATGTTTAGTTCGGTTTAGCGTTAACATATAAGTATATAATCTAATGAGGCAATGCAAAGAAACATGTATATATATGTTTCCTTTTTCTTAATGAAGGAACTTGCAAATGATAAGCTAGCACAACATGTAAATGATAAATGTAACCTCTTTACTTAAAGTTTCACTAAACTTATTACAAAATGAACCAAAACACTGGCAATGAGGAAGATCTGGGGTAGATAATAAAGAGAATAAATATGAAAAGTAAGGGGCTAACCCTCTAAAGTAAAAAGGAAGTCTGGTTTGAACACTGTTACTAAGCTTGTTTACAAGATATTTAGTGCTGATCTATAGATGATCTAAATATATATATGTATATATATGTATATACTATGTGTTATCCATGTCAGCCTGCTTGTAAACAGGTTAAACCTTTAAATATACATACGGACAGCAGCTTTAACATATAAGCCCTGTGTGCACTCGTGGCACACAGTTGAGTTGCAGCTGTGGTGATAATGAAAGAAGAGAGAGAGAGAGAGAGAGACGCAGTCTAAACAGACAGTGTCTGCAGAGGAGGAGAGAGGAAGTAGATAAGGAGACAATAGTGTGTTAGGACAGAGGACCCGCAGGAGACTCACCTGCACGGAGGAGACAGAACCATTAACACCCCCCCTCCTCCTCCTCCTCGTCTGTCCCTCTGTCTCACATTCACTCTCAGTCTGTCACCAACAACGATGTACTAACGAGAAATGTTGTGCACTAAACAGTTGAAATGACACTGTTGAATAAACCTCTTAAAGAGGAAGCAAATTATTTTTTAAAAAGATTAAAGATCATTTTTGGTGTAATTCTGTTAAACCCACAGACTGTATATAAGAAGTGGACGTAGTCATCGTGACGTCAAGTCTTCTTCAATACAGCATGATGTTCATTTAGAGTCAAACAGACCATAAAGCAGGGGATGCTTTAGGGCGGGGCTACATGGTGATTGACAGGTCTCTACCAGAGACGTATACGGCGTCTCTACGTCACTCCTCAGTCCAGATATGGTCACTTCCTGTTCACTGGTTGCAAAAAAGGCCAAGATGGTCAAACCCAAGGCTTCCAAACGACTACGTCCACTTCTTATAAACAGTCTATGAGAATGACAACAGTACGACCACAACATACTCACGATAAAAACACTTTTAGACGGAGACAGAATCAATTAAAGTCTAAGTAATAACAGTCAATCCACAAGTAGTGAGTAAAATCAAAGATGATATAAAAGTGATATCATTTTGTCTTTCCCCCGGGTGATGTTGGGACTTCTATTGAAGTGAATGCCTTTAGGGGATGAGTAATATCCTGTTTTTAAAACAAATCCAGTTTCCATAGGATGAGTTTGTTGCTGCAGGCGAGTGGCTTTTTCTCGCTCTCCTGATTTGTCGTTGTACTGTGGCTTTGTAGTTCAACAAAGCCAACAGAGTGAGACGATGTTGAGTGAACGCTATTGTAGTGGTATTTAGAGGCGTGAAACATCAGAATGTGTGTCGCCTGTGGAAGGCTTTGTCATGGTTTAGTTGGTGCCAAGTTCATCTCTTTGTTTTTGTCTTTAGTTCAGAATGAATTACAGCCGTTAGACGAGAACTCTGAACAATAACAGCTGCCAAGACCCTCGGATGCTTGTGGAGGACTTTCTCTGGACGGTTCTTCTGACACTAATCCACTTCAACCCAGTTGTTAGAAATTCATCTAATTTGTGTCTTTGGCTTAAAACTTCTGTGTAGACAGAGATATCCCCTTCCTCTTCTCCTGCTCCTTTCTTTCTCTATAGATCCCCTCTTTGATCCTCTGTCTGTCTCTCAGGTGTAGTCTTCAACATCTTCGGTCGACGTCTTTCATGTCCTTTGACGTTGTAAAGCTTTCCCCAGTGGAGTCTGCCCGCCTGGCTGATCAAGGTGAAAGTGGCCCTTTTGTCTCTCGTCGTTTGTTTGGTTTCCACCTCTTCCTTCGGCTGGTAGATGAGTCGGATGATAGCCGGAGATTATGGCGGCGTGTTTGGATTAGAGAGACCAGGACGTGTGTTCAGTGGGGGGGGGGTTGCTGCTGCTCGTTTTGTTCGAGAGTTCAGAGGAGTTTTTCTTCTTTTCTGCCGGGACCCTAAGATATAACAAAAAAAAGAAGATCTGGGGTGCTCCACTTCTATGATCTTTCAAACATCAACTCGTGTTTTTCATACAATCCCCTCGTCTTGTTATGTCTGGGGGAGATTGGTGTTGACCCCCTTTGGGACCCAAGAACCTCACCACAGCAAACAAATGGGGGCGGCTTGAATTGGGGGGCGAGGCGAGAGGGGGATTCCCAAATCATTCTCAAGCAGTGGCCAGAAAAAAAAATCTGTGTTGTCTGCGAGGCGGGAGACAAACCCCAAAACAACATGTTACTGTAAGTGGAGGTCAACTTTGACATGTGTAGAGCTGCGTCATGTCAGCCAGGTGTGTTATTGAGTAAGTTTTTTTTGGCATAAATCACAAACCTGAAGGGCTCTGCCCACACATGTGGAGTGACAGACGGTTCTCGTAAGCAAAGCTTTTTGTTTTGTTTTCTTGTCGGGTTTTATCGGAGATGAGCCCGATCATGGAAAAAACAACCCACGCGCTGATTATTGTCTGGGAATAATCTAGAGGAAACCCCCCACCCCATCTTCACCCACCTCCCACACACACACACGCACACACACACAACCACACCCACCTTGTTGAGTGACAAATCCACGCAGCGATATACTTTGAGCATCTCACCCCCCTCCTCCTCCCCATCTCAGTCACATTTGTGGTACCTCCCACTCACTATTGGGGCGGTCTTCCCCATTCAGGCTGCATCAGGAGCCAGCACGGCTTGTGCAGATCAAATGGGGCGTCTCACTTCAGAGACCGGAGGGGGTGGGGAGGGAGGTGGTGTCGGTTTCAGTGGCTGCTTTGATGCAGCAGATAGTGGCTTGTGTTTTTCATGTGCGCAGGCGTGCGAGATGTTCACCAGACAGGGGGAATTTAGCCCACTGGGTGCCTTGATCTGCTGTTTGATTCAAAGCAGAGATCTTTTGCTTTCTAATTCTAACCGAACAGCTTTACTGTAAAAAACACAAGAGGAAAAAAAAAAGCTGCAAAAACTGTGAGTGTTTCGGTAGAATTCAGAGAGGCGTCGAGGAGAAGATTTCTGCTTCTTTGTACACTTCAAAATCAGTGGGAAGTTTGGAAAAACATGTTGAAATCCTCACTAACACTACGATACTTTTATATATTTGTAATCTTGCGTAGTTATGCTTTGATCGAATATTCCGTGTGAATCAAGAGATTTGAGGCTTCTTCTATTTTCTTCGAAACGGAAGACTTTTTGTCAAAAGGCCAAAGGTTTTTAATTGTTTGTCATTTCACAAATGATTTGCTTTTCTAATAAAATAATAAAAACCTACGTTCAGCTTTCTCTCACACATACAGCAGTTAACACGTTAGACACTTGTGCGCTGACCGTCAGTACAGGAAGTGGGTTTTTCTACATCTACAGTTGGTACTGTAGCTACATTTATAGTGTTTATTGTATTTAGTTTTATATCTATGGGGAAAAAAAGAGTGCGATTGTGGACGAATTTGCATGGAGCATCAACCGAAATAGGAAAGTTTTGAATGCAGTTTATAACCTCAGTTTAAAATGTTTCTGAAAACCTCTTCTGAGCCGATTTCAATGACATTTTTATGGACAAACAATTACAACTGATTATTTGTCTTTTAGAAACCAAAACTGCCAAATATTTGTTTCTTTCCATCCCTGTTTTATATGATCATAGATTACATTATTTTGGGGTTTTTTGGACTGTTGGTTGGACAAAATAATGAATTTGAAATTGATTTATCAGAAGAACTCCTCAGTGAATGAGTAAATGATGAAAACAAACGGCGCTTTAACAGTTTTCCTCTCTCACATTGCGGCGTGCCAAACGCACTGACCACCAGTCAGTCATCCAGTGTTTCTGTGTTTGGCTCTGAGGAGAGTGCAGCGTTGCGGTCTTCCTTAAATAGTGGTTGGCTTTCGCTCGGCTGACAAAACATGTCGTCTTGGCCGGCGGTCGTGTACAACTCAACCACAGGGCGTGTGTGTGTGTGTGTGTGTGGACAAATCAGTCCATTTATATTCAAACGGTGGCAGCTGATTTGCCAAGCAAGTTAATAATAATGTGATTGGGGTCGGGAGGAAGTGGCTCCCTGTCTGGTCTGATTTGTCATTTTAACATCTTTAATATTCTACTTGTGTGTAATAATCTGATCCAAACCCAGTTAAACTGCTTTTCTTTCTGGTTTAAGTATTAGAGATG